GGTATTAGTTTTGGAACGTTCAGAAGAAGTTTATTTGTGGAGCGTAGACTGTGGGTGGTTTGGTCCGCAAATGTAGGATTACAAGGTGTGTGAATTGCACGAAAAGCGATTAACATGATCCTGAAATATATGCGTTGTTGAACAGGAAGCCAGTGTAGGTTGTATAGAACTTCAGTGATATCGTCAAATTTCCTAGTCTAGTTGGAGCTTATGAATATTCGTCTGGGCAATGCCGTAGAGAAGACTATTTCCATGATCAATCCTTGATTGATTCACAAAAGAATGTACTAAATGTTTTGTAGTTGCATTAGTTAGGTACTTCTTGATGTAACTAATATTGCGGATATGAAAGTATAATGATTTACAAATACTTTTCACATGATTTTCCAATATGCTTGTCAAACTCGACACCAAGCTTACGAGCAGATGTTGTTGGCACGATGGTACAACCCTCAATCTGTTTAGATGGTAAATTTAACTTGGCCAGATTTGGTCGAGATCCAAAAAGTAACATTTCCGTCTTGTCCGAATTGAGTTTTAGGAAATTTAATGTCAACCAATTATGAATATCCTTGATCGCACTTTCCATATGGCAAATGTTGATGTCAATATCGTTGGTCTTGAAACATAAATATAGTTGTGTGTCGTCAGCATAGAGATGAAAGTTAATGTTGGGATGTCGGATCATCAAGTGGTGATGTGTACACAGTGAAAAGGATAAGACCCAGTACAGATCCTTGAGGCACGCCATACTTTAACTTATATAGTGATGATGTTGGTTCATAGATACAAACTTTTTGTTGTTGATCTGAGAGATGTGATTCAAAATAAGATAGTGCAGCCTCTGCCACACCCATACCACTTGACATACGTGCTAGAAGAAGTGAATGGTCGACAGTATCGAGGGCCGCAGATAAATCCAATAAAACTAGCATCACAATTTTCTGTTGGTCAAGTGCCATGAGTATATCATTTGTTTGAATGCAAGTGTGAGATCAATCTATTGGCAACTACTTTCTCTGTGACAAATGTAAGGTTCGAGACTGGGCGATAGTTCTTCAGGACATCAGGATCTAGATGCGACTTCTTGAGAAGAGGAGACACTTTTCTTTTTTCCCTTTTTATAGATGTAACTTCTTCTGTAAACCATTTGGTATTTTGCCTAATTGACACAGTTCTTCTTCTTTCTGGAGCATGATGGTACAACACACTTAACAGTGAAGAGTTGTATTGAGTAATAAGAGCAGATACAGTTGAAGCTGGTGATGTAGTGTGTAGTACTATGGTAGTATGGAGATTGTTGCAGAAATCTGTAATGTTTATGTCTTTATATTTACATGATGTAACACCTTTCTTTTCAGCACAAAGTTTAGTCAGGGGAAGTTTGAATATAACAGCATAGTGATCAGATATTGCAGGGTCGCTAATAATGATGTCAGTGATGTCATCAGATGAACAAGTCCAGGATATGACCATTATTATGTGTTGGCATAGTGGCATGTTGGTTGTCTCCATAATTGTGTTGAGTTGAGCAGAATGAATATTGTTCTTATTATCCATGTGAATGTTGAAGTCGCCGGCAATCAAAAGTTTGCCAGCTGAGAGAGTTTGGTACGACAATAGAGTGGTGAATTCCTCAAAGAATTGACTAGATGTAAATTTATTCTTCTGAATAGGTGGTGGACGATAGATGATAATCAACTTCCAGTGGTCAGTAGGGGAGCTTAGGTGCATGTATTCAAATGATTTGACTACGAGTTGGCAATTTTCAGGTTGGTTTTTGGCATAACAGCAACGCCGCTCTTGCATGATGTTTTTGGTATATGATGTAATTTATAGCCAGAAGGTCTTATTTCAGCCATAGTTTGATGGTCAGTTTCATCTCTGCGAAGCCAGGTTTCAGTGAACATAATCATGTTCAGATCATGTAACAAAGTCTGTAATCTCTGTGGATTTATTTCCAAGTGTCCGGGATTTCACAAGACAGCAATCAAGACTGTTAAAATATCGATGAGTCGGCTTGGTTTGGCAAGAACTGGAATTGTAGTCAGATTTTGGTAACATATTCTTTGTGAACTTAGTGTCTGCAGGCTGGATGTGGAAATAACAGGAATATTTCCTTTTGTACCTCCAGTGGAACCTCTCTTTGTTAATGGAGTCATG